ATGATGAGAAAGAAAAGAAAGAGGCACAGGAGAAGAGGGGAATTTCAATATAAATCTTCCTGATAAATATAAAAATAAAAATTGGGGAAAATAAAATAGAGCACTTTTTTGTTTAACTAGAAACATGATAATGTCTTCAAATAGTAGTAACCATCATAGAAAGGGGTATAAAGATCTCTTAAACTGAATTCAAGAGTAATTGAGGATACTTTTAATATTAGATTCATAAAACCATATTTTCCTTTCTGCTAATGACAATAAGTTTGTAATTTTCACCAAGTAGTGTACTGGGGCTGTCCTCTTTTACAAAAGCTAGTCACTGAGGACAGCCTTGCATTTGAAACAATGACCACAAAGTGAAAAGGTCCTTCTCCCATGACCTTTGAAATGAGAGGGTCACCATCTGAGAAAGAAGGATCTGTAGCTGGGTCTTGACCTCTTAACTATGATTTGTCACGAAGCAGACATCAGCCTTCATATCCTGTATGTGATTTCAAGAGAGAGAGAAATGGCATTTTATTGGCTTGAGGATGAGACTAAGCCTAGGGTTTGGTTGCTGTCCACATTTTTAAGGAATCCCCTTGCTTTCAAGATTGTTTTGCATTCCACCAATATGACTCTCTACAAAACAGTATGACACTGGTCATCAGATTTTGGCTATGAACCACATCATTTCCATATTATTCGCTCTCTTTCTTTACTTTGGAACTGCATTGTCTCTGGATGTTTTCACCATGAAACCAAATACTAAACACCATGAAAACAAATATTAAAAACTAAAAGGTAGATACCCATACATAATTTAATTTCTTTGACTTCAATAAAAATTACTAATACTTGCCTTTGTTAGTGATTTCCAAACTCTCTTTTTCTCCCTTCTGTTTTCATTATCAGTAGAACTTGTTTTTCCAAACCATCAGGACATAAAGGGACTGTTCTGTTGGAGTAAGTCTCAAGAGAAACACCTGTCTTCAATCCTGCTGGTCACCACTTTTGAGCACAGGCTAGGAATTGGTGTTCTGGTCATGGGTTATCATAGACACACAATTAAGTTGTAAAAGTATTGCCATTGCTATCCATAATAGCTCAGAGGTCCAAAGCATTCTAAAGTGGTAAGAGGATTGAGTCAGAATCCAGTGCAAATTTCTCATAAAAAGGAAAGGGACAGAGAGGATTTCTAGATCAAGGTTGAACTGTTTGTCTGCAGGAAAGCCAGACTTAGTCCCTGGTCTCCCATCTCCCAGTGAAATGATCTTTTGTTGTGGTGGTTCAAAGGTTACCAGAGCTTCTCTTTCTTTGGGGCTCTCTGGCTACTCACTCCCTCTGAGTTCTAAATCAGACTAGCACTTCTGAGATTTTGGGAAAAAAAAATCTGTGCATACTCAGTCAAGACTTCAAAAAGGAAACAGCAGCTCGACTTCAGTGGAAAAAGCCTCAGAGGTCCAACGAAAGGCCATCCTTGTCCCCTATTCTGTGGGCCACACCTCTTCTTACCTCCAACTCCCCTAAAAACAAACCCTTGAAGAGGAGGGTTTCAGCACAATTCTCCACTACTTGTCACAGCTAGCATTTCTCAGATTATCCACTGTTAGACTGCCCTATGAAGAAAAAAAATGTAAGAAAAAGTGTGTTTTATTATTTTTAGTTTAAAAAAAAACACACACACAACATGGTATTATGACAACTATGCACTTAGAGGTAGCAAAGTCATAATTTTCTCAAGATGGGGTCATAGGAAAAAGTGACAAGGGGAAAGAATGGCCCTAGGAGGGGTGATTTCCTTTTCTTTCCTCCCACTCTTGGCCAGTTTTTACCCCCATTGCAATCTGTTGGCATTGACTTTGGGTTCAAATGGTACATCCACATCCTGGCTGCATAGCTATGTGTATCACCATTCTGGAAACATAGTGGGTAGCCAGTAGATGTCTTGAACTTCGGAAATGCATGCTCAGTCATCTGCCATTGAAAAAGTGAAAAGTTCTGGGGAAAGTCTTTAAGTGTGTGCGCTAGGCTCAGAATAGAAGAGAACAAGACAATTTGTAAATTTGATTTTTTGAGGCAAAAGGATGTCTTTCTGGTTCTGGCCCTTATCGGTATGAAGTGACTAGTTAAAGGTTTGCTTTAAAATCTTATTTCATTAAAAAATGGTAAAGTCACCCACCTCCATCCCCAAAATTATTAATTACCAGGAGTAGTCTACCATGTTCTTCAATGGGAATTCATTGGCAATACTCCTCATCCATTCAGCCAGAGTGGACACTTCTTCCTCAGGTTTAAGAAAACATAAAAACCACAAAGAATGTTCACAATTATTTTTTTTCCTAGGTTGACAGAACAGATGCCTTTCCTCAAGGAAAATGCTATAGGTCAAAATAGTCATATTCATTCAAAACTTATTGTTTAGTAATTGTGCAGACTCTGAATTATATCAAATATAATTTCTTTCAATGTAAAGAATGTCTTAGGAAAAGATTTAAGGAAAAAGGAGCAGGAAGACAGAAAATAAAGTGTTCAAAGAACTGACTATGCCAGGACAAGAGTGGTGAAGAAACGACAGCACAAATACATTGACAGGAAACTGGCAATGTGGACATGATTTTCTGTGGGGTCAGGCGGGAGCACCTGGCTGGTTTTATTTATAAGGTAATTGTCAAGTCAATCTGTGGAATATGGATGAGGTAAAACGCAGAGGTAGAGTATTATTCTGATCATCTGTAACTTTTCAAATACAACCTTCACGCTGAAATTCCAGGGAGAATGTAAGTGACTCCAATAAAGAAACCTGTCAGTCAGTCAACAGTGTTTATTTATTATCCCCCTGGGCCAGGCACTGTTGTAGCCAATATGAAACCCTACAAAATAAAGAGTAGTCATCACCCTTATAATCTCAGGAGAGCAAATGGATTAAATCTGCAGACACACACGCACACACACCTCTCACATCCTCTATGTGGGTGGTCAAGAAATTCAACTACATGAATATACATAAAACAGCCTTATTTTGAAAAACCCTGATTAGAAAATGAGACTTAAGCATTAGAAAAACTGGTGAGTAATTCCTTTTATGACAAATAGATTAAAATGCATTCATAAAGTATGTCTTTTATAGAAGTCTCATTATGCATTCAAACTGGGGGTCCTCTCCTGCCTCACCAATCTACAGAACATTTTTGGGAACTGGGGACACATTTATTATGCAAATATGGATTCCCACTGGTGTTGAGGAGCTGTTATGTTAAAGTGACTGACAAAGCAAGTGTTTGCTAAACTTTTAAACTTTAAGTTCTTTAAAGTCAAAGCTTAGGCTTTTTTTTTTTTTTTGACATCTTTCACTGTGAAGACAGAAGTGATAGAGGAATAAGACAGAATGGATGGGATAGATGAGTTAAGATTTCAAAGAGGAGCTGAGTTTAGGAGCCTTTCAGGAGGGCAAAAGAAGAGGGCTACGATGATTACAGAGAGGTCAAGGGGGCTGGTCTCAGGCCGTGTTTTGACTGTAACAGCAGGGCTTGGCATTTTCAGACTGAATGAGGAAGGGGCCACTCCTGCTTTGGTCCAGTGGGCTCATGCTCTGTCCCCATGGACTTTGTGGGGTCAGCTTTTTAGCTTTCTTCAACATTTAGTAGGTGGGCTTGCCAGGACTGGATGGGTATCTCCTAAAAAACAGGCAGTAAAGGCTTCCAGTTCTTCGTACACTTTCTCCCAGGGCTGTACCCTTCCCTCCAGTTCCTGGTGGAGCACCTATGGGGTGGAATTGTCTGCAGTGACTTGCTTAACAGAAGTTGGGTGTTATTTCTGATTCTCTTGCTACGCACTTGCTTGGCGTTACTTTAACGCAGCCCAAGCTTTGCGAGCTTCAGGAGCACAGCCTTTGTAGGGTTTTCCACGCTGCAGCAGCGTGGCTCCTAGAACAGCGCCTGGCACGTGGGCATTAGACACACACAGTGTTTGTTAAATGCACACATGCTATTACAGTGGCCATTTGTCTTTATTCTTGCCTTATCCAACCCTCTTCTTAGAGCCAGAACGTAGAGAGAAATCGTTGAATTCCGGTTTCCCTTCTTCATTCGCCCCAGAGGGTCTGGCCAAGAGTCCCGGTCAAGCCCTTGGGAATGGGGATCCCCTCGGAAATTCAAGAGGCGTCGTAGCTACTGGGATGGGGGAGGGGAAAGTTGCGGGAAGTTGTTCTCATTTCTTTCTGCCTTTGCTGCGCCCTTCGCCACCCATCTGGCTCTTTGGGGTTCGGGGCGTCCAGGAGGAAGGAAACCGGGGGCCGTGCTTGGCTGAGTTCCTCGCCCGGGCCACTTGGGGTCCGTTCTCTAGCGAGCCCCACAGCACCCCCTGTCTGTGCCAGCACCTGTTGGACCGCCACTGGGCCGCCCCCGCCAGCGCCAGCGGATGCGGCCCGGGGCT